GGGGGGGGGGGGGGGGGGGGGGGGGGGGGGGGGGGGGGGGGGGGGGGGGGGGGAGAGTTACATACTGGAAACATTCAGAAGCAGAAAGATGACAGCAACAAACCATAGTGGGATACTGCACGATCAAAATGAATTAATGGGTTAGGATTGGAAAAAAGATTGGTTTAGATAATACTCCTCAACTATGATGAATTCAGGATTTTGCGCACGAGAGAGAGAGAGACCTTATGCCCAAAACCACCTTGAAGTCATCTTCCATGGACCTTTTAATGTACTTGTGGAAGTCAAATTTGCTATTTGGGGCAAAATGCGCCTGCATTTGTTAGCTGTGTTAAAACACCAATGATCGACTTGACACAAACAACCAAGATCACCATCTTATTCACACTAAATAGTAAGATTATTATTGAGGCGATCTGTGATTTTTAGGGAACTTCAGTGAGATTCAAGTCATTTGGAAACATATCTCAGGGGAAAAAGAAAGGAGCTATGCACTGTGTCAAACTCACATTTCATGTTTATACTTTATCACAAATACTTTCCACAGGTGCATGGACGTTTATGCCAAAGTGGTTATTATATATCAACATAAAAGGCTTAAAGTGTAACACTTGCATGACATCTAAAAGGAGAAAAGCACGGGGTTCGGCATTTAAATTTATTATCAAAAAAAAAAAAATACTACTAGAAATGAATAAGCTCACTTACATTGATAAATCCATTGCGGATTGCCAAATAATCGACCTTTGATAGTGAACCGAAAAATTGCCGAAAGAATGCTACCTGAAACGGTTAGCAAAATAAAAATAAAAGGACTTTTCCATTGTCAAAAGAATATTGAATAGTCTTTTTTTCCAAACAAAAAAAGAAAAAGAAAAGACATGACAATTGACAGAGACGAGGCTTTGTTAATAAATAGACACAAGGGAAGAAAGAAATTAAAAAAAAAAAAAATCTATCTTGGGCTTACTTACAATCCATCTGATCCCAGGTTTCTTGGAGAATCCAGCATGACGCCTCACAAAGGATGTTTGATGGGCAAACCTGAATCTTGCAGGATCTACAAGAACAATATCAACTTATCAAGCCCGCTAAGACGTATGATGAATTACCCACGGGTCGGCCCATGTAATATTTCACTCCATCAAAAAAGAATGGGATTCCTCCTGATTACCATTTGTGAATTGATATTCCAATGAAGACGTTTCCAACTCCCAAGCCTTCCATTTCTTCATCTGATTAACAAACAATCCCATGGATTAGTAGGGTATGTTGTTGGGCTAACCAAGAAAAGCCTATATTAGTTCAGCCCAGCCCAGCCCAACCCAACCCAAGATCACATTCTAAAAGCTTAAAAGGAATGAAACTTACTTTGGCCTGGCCCAGAACCATGATGATGACGCTGTACAGAACGTGAAAAACGGCAAGTACGAATATAAATATGTGCAGCTGGTGCACCCCTGATTGTGAGATTAATGATACTTTCCCCTAATTCCAACAAAAGTAATTTTTCAATTAAAAATGAAAATAAAATAGGATTTCTTTTGTTGAATATATAGATGGTATCTGATCTTTTTTACATCACACGATTAATAATATCAGATACATGCAATTTTATTTTTTAAGTTACGAACACCGGTAGACGATTAGAATGAGATAGTTGGACGACAATGAAACTCGAATTTGAAACTTGTAATTTTATAATATCACGTTAATAATTGATCCTTTACCTTTCCGAGGCAAAAATCCTTTTCTTCGGCGGCTGCTGCTGCCGCCAAAACTCGATGCCATATCATGTCTTGAGCGTGGGAAAGTAGTTTTCTGCGGTGATCACCGCCTTTGTTATCATCGTTGGCCTTCTTCTTCTCGTCTTCTTTGCAAGGAAGCCATGTGTTTCCAACTTTTTCAGGAATGCATATCTTAGCAATATAAGTCGTACCCACGGTTAGTAGAAGGGATAAAAAACCCAATAGCATCAATTCTGCACATCAATTCAAATTTATAATTATTTATCAAATAAATGTTCCATAGATTATTATTATTAAGTATACACACACACACATATATGTATATCAAAACCTGCTTTAATCTTCTCTAAGGCTTCAATCATGGCCTTGTTCTGGCGTTTCTGGAACCACTGGCATGACAAAGAGAGGAAGCAACGATATCAAAACCTTTTCATTGGGTCGTCGCTTCATGTAACACAAAGCCAATGAATCAAAATAACATCAAAATACCTTTCCAAGAGAATGAATCCCATGTTCTATGAGGATAGATAGGATCACAAAGGCTGCGCACACAGTCGCAACAGCCCATGTTGGTGTGTCCTGCAGCGACCTGCCCCCTGAGCCACCGGCCATATAAGAATTACACCAGGCAAGAAGTGATGATGAACTGCAGCACAAGAATAACAAAACTCTTTCTGAGAAAGAAAAAAATTAATAAATCCCTTTCACTTTGTAGGACAAACAAACAGGAGAGAATGAATAACAAAACAAACCTAAAAGAGAAAAGCGTCTTCAAGACTGGGTCAATCAACTACAAGCTGAATTGTTTTTACTTGCAAATCAGAACAAATAGTTGTGGTTCAACTTTACTGTAAAATTGCTTCTCACTCATAATATAAAATGTAGCCGGCGATATATGTACCAAAACAGAGAATCGGATCATCCAATGCTTCACGTCGTTCAGTTGGAAGAGAGTGGGCCTATATGACTATCAGTGTCAGTATCATTTCTTTCTTCACCGTGCCATGTGATGCGAGCTGTCCAGTACAGGTAGATTGGGAAGTGGGAACGTAGCAGCAGTGCAGCTGCCACTCGGACGAATCGATCGATACAAGCAAATGGGACAAGTAGCAGAGCATTTTTAACCGTTCCCTTTCATCATGTTCAGCCTCCATTTGTCTGTCTGTATAATCTGAAAATACCAGGAATTGGACGATATGATATGTTACAAATAGAGGTATTTTCTTTAAGGGTGATTATTTTTCATCCTTCTTATTGTTTTTTAGTAGAGGAGTTGGTGGCCTGGCTATAACACATGAAACAAGAGAAAGATCATTCCTCAGTTCGAACACTATTGGTCTTTCTCTAGCTTAGACAGTTCATGCTCCAAGACTTCCTTTACATAGATGATGGGACATTTCTGGAAGAAGACAGATCGGCAACACGTGTTCTCGGCATTATTATGTTCTCAGTTATGTCTGGCCACGTGTCCTCGGCAACACTCATCCATCTGCCGAGGCGATAGTGCTTAGAGCCGAGGGATCCCCCCAATCGGTGTGATCAACATATATGTCCTCGGCTCGGAAGAAACCCCTGATCCCGAGATAGACAAATATGCGTCGGTGCCGAGGCGTTCCTTCTGTACGCTCCCACCTCTCCTCTGCTTCTACAAAAGCTAATGATTGACAGATGGCTAGTCTAGGCCAAGCTAGGCTAATCATCATGAAGACGCTCTGCTCGATGGTGTCAGGAATGCAGAATGTGCAACCAAGGAGGGGTGGACGCGTGGAATTTGGTATCAAATCAGTAGCACAAAGACCTGGGTACCCCTGCTGACACATGACTGGAGCAAGTAAGCATTTAATGAATCTTCCTCCTGATGAGACAGCAATTAAGGCACGGGGGCCGAGAAGTGAAGTGCATTAAAGACCCCCATACCTAGGCAATTAATACATCCTCGCCAAAAAAGGGGAATTGAATGCTCAGCAGACCGAGGAGTGAGTTTTAAATGCTCGACATCCCGATCAGTTAAAACAAATCTCATTCCCCATAAAAGTGAAAGGCACACTGCCTCATCTCTGACAAATACCTGCTGGATGGACTATCATCAACCATGAGCTTTTGAAGGTATAAATAGTTTTCAAAAACGCATTGCAAAGGTATGCAAGAACTTCCAAAAAGAGATACACAGTGCTTTCTTCTTCCCCTCTCTCAAAGAACTAACTTGATCGTCGGAGGGAATACGTTAGAGAGCACTCCAGCACCCTTCTAACCTGTTTTTCTGTGTCACAGGATCCCCCTACAGTCTTCCAGGACCGGTCAGGCTACCCAACAAACAACTCATCACCAGTCCTTAGGGCTCCTTTGTCCCTCTTAACCTCTCTCTTGTTGCCAAAACCCACGTTCGAATTGGTCATATCTCAGCCGAAGGCGATCGAAAATCTTGAAAGCAAACCTTCTGTTCCGTAAAAATTACTATCTAGACAAACCATAGTTCATCATGGAAGAGATATGTTCCTACTCCTACTATTGTGCAAAAACTCAGCGCGCACAATCTGGCGCCTTCTGTGGGAAGCAATTAGTTTTTCCAAAGAACAGTGACCATGGTGAATACTCGACAAAAAGGAAGGGATCCTCATCAGAAGAACCTCAATTTATAAGCTCCTTCTGGTTCCAGAATGAAGGATCAAGTTGATGGTGTCGACAGGAATATCTCTATTCAATCAAGGAGGCATACCCGTCAAACCAGTATAGGCATCAGATCAGGAGGATCCGTCCCATTGGCCCATCAACTGGCGAAAATAATCGAGGATAAGTTTTGGGGGTCGATTATGGCAGTTAGAAGAAGACAACGTGAATGTCCTCACCCGTCTCAACGAATTTATGGCTTCCGACGAAGGTCCAGGGACTCGTTCTGTTCCTGGGAACCCTCCATTAGGGAAGTAGAAATAGAAGACTTGCGGAATCACCTGAACAATAAAGTAGAAAGTTTCAAGGTTCCAAAGCATCCGAGAGCCAAAATGCATCCCCCAGATGTCCAGGCCAAGAAGGCAAGGCCTTTGGCTTGGGACGACCTCCGTCGGGGACTGACCGGGCGACGGGGCGTGGAGGAATCCGAGGGGTCAACCCTCTCCACTCGGCACCCAAGAAAAAGGTATCCCGTTAGCCCGCATAGGGACCTTAAAGGGGTTCCCCCCAAATTGGGAACCGACCTCAGAGCTCAGCTAGATGCCAAGAGGAGTAAAGTCATTCATGAAGAAGACACCGATGACGAAACCATACAATCCCCCTTTACCAGGGACATTCAAGAGATGAAGGTGCCAAAAAAGTTTATAGTCTCAAAGTTCAAAACTTATGACAGGCGATCCGATCCCGAAGCTCACCTCAGGCAGTACAAACAGATGATGTCCTTTAACCATTCAGACCATCAGCTTTTATGCTGGGTGTTCTCCATGAGTTTGGGAGACTCAGCTATGAAGTGGTTCAAAACTCTCCCTCCCAACGACATCAGATCATGGAAAGAATTAACCAGGCAGTTCTCCACTCGATTTGTTACAGGAAATAAGCGACCTAAGGATGTTGGGTCCTTACTAACACTCAGACGAAAGGAAGGGAAAACTTTTCGCCAATATGTCACTCGTTATTAGGAGGAGTTCAGTGAGGTTGAGGGATGCTCAGAAGTCATTGCAGCCGCCTCTTTCAGGCTTGGCCTGGCGAGAGACACTGATTTGTACTGGTCATTAACCAAGAAGACCCCATCAGACATGGGTGAATTAATAGCCCAGATAAATAAGTATTCTTGGATCGAGGATGAGATGGGAGGGGCAGAGGTAGGGCCCCCACCCCCAGGAAGAAAGACAGAGAGAAGGAGGACACCTCCCGTAAGGGGTTGATACCTCCCTCCGTTAGTTCTTTTAAAGGAGTCCACACCGTATTTAAAGAGCCTATTTACAGACTGCTCCAGAAGATCCGGGGTGAGCCATTTTTCAAATGGCCACCTAAAATGCAGAGTGATCCGTCCACTTGGATTCAAAATGTCAGGTGCTCCTATCATCGAGATTTTGGGCATCGTACAGAAGATTGTAGGGTGTACAAATATTTCCTGGAAAAGTTGGTCCAGGACGGGCACCTCAAGGAATACATTAAGCCAAAATCTAAAGAGGTTCGGGCCCCCAATAGCCCGGGTGTTATCTAGGACAACGTAATCGACGTGATTCACGTATGTCCACTAGAACGTCCGACATCCAGGAACCTTGAGTCCAATCTCAAGAGAGTGGCGTTCACAAGAAAGGTAGCTGCAGAAGAGAGGGGTCAGCCCAGTAAGAGGGCTCGGATTGGCGAGCCCAACATTGCATTCTCTGATGCAGATCTTGCAGGCATAGTTACCCCCCATAACGATGCCTTGATATTAACACTGAAGGTCTGCAACTTCGATGTTGAGAGAGTGCTGGTGGACTTCAGGAGTTCTTCTGAAGTGATGTACTCCGAAACCTTGAAATGAATGGGACTTGGTCTTAAAGATCTCACCAAAGTCAAGACTCCCCTCATTGGATTTAACGGTTCATTTGCCTAGTCGATGGGTAAAATCACGTTGTCAGTCATCACTGGGCCTGTCATTATCAACACGGAGTTTGTTGTGATCGACATAGACTCGCCTTACAACATTATCATGGGGCGAGCCTGGTTGCACGCGCTGGGGGCAATGCATTTCACTTATCACCAGAATCTAAAGTTTTCCACCCCGGAGGGGGTAAGGGAGATTCAAGGGGACTAAGTGTCCGCTAAAAACTGTTTCTACTCGGCTGTCAGAGCAAGGATTTCCATCCAGGAGAAGGGGTAGGCCCCGAAGGAGATCCTGGATAAATAGCAACCACAATCGGGACATCCTGGAGTAGACGACCCCCGGACGAATCCGATAGAACAATCGGTGGAAGACCTTTGAAAAGTGCCCCTAATAGATGGAGAAGGGGAAATATACTTCTTGATTGACTCTGCCATGACTCTAAACGAACAAGCCGAGATGATAAATTTTCTAAAACAAAATACATACGTATTTGTTTGGAATGCGATAGAGATGAAGGGGGTAGACCTCGAAGTGATAACCTATAAACTTCATGTTGACCCTACACATAAGCCGGTTAAGCAGAAGCCATGGCGCATGGCACTGCATCATGCCCAGGCAATAAACGAGGAAGTTGATAAACTCCTAAAGGCCAACACCATTTGGGAGGTCCTGTTCCCGAAATGGTTGTCAAACACGGTTTGTGCAAAGAAAAAAGAGGAAAAATGGCGTGTTTGCGTGGACTTCACGGATCTAAACAAGGCCTACCCCAAGGACGACTTCCCACTCCCGAAGGTGGATCAGCTGACAGATGCCATTGTAGGGCATCAGTGCATGGCCTTCCTAGACACTAGGGCAGGCTACCATCAAATCCCCCTCCATCCACCTGACCAAGAGAAGATTGCCTTCATCACTCCGAAGAGGGTTTATTGCTACAAAGTCATGTCATTTGAGCTGAAAAATGTCAGAGCTACCTACCAAAGACTTATGAATCGGATGTTCGAATGACAAATCGGCGACACCATGAAAGTCTACATCGACGACATGTTGGTCAAAAGCAGAATGAGTTGTG